ATCATGTTATTGGGCTAGCAAGGCCCAACAAGCACGATTTGAAACTTTCAAGCCCAAAGATTGAATGTTGACTCATCGTAGTTATCGCATGTTTATTGAAATCCTATGATTTATTGATTTTTGTTTTGTTATTGATTCGAGACCGAATCAATTCGTTCTGTAACGATATTGGGTGTTGAGTGTGTATTTGTTCTTATGTTTCGTCGGTAGTCGTGGGTCTTGTATTTCGTCTTAATGAATTAATTCGTTTAAAAGTAAGATTTTTACTTTTTCACAACCTTTCTTTTATAAAACTAGCACTTTTAGTCCTTTATATAAAAGAATTTCATTTTAGTCCTTAAAACATTATTTTGACACTTTTGTATCATAAACTTGTAGAAAAGACATTTTTACCCCAAATTTTGTTTTGTAACAGCTTTAGTCCTTCCAGAATAAAGTTTTCTCGTTAAAACCCTCAATTTCACAACTTTGACGGTTTTGGCCCAAAATAGAAAAAATTTACATTTTTGATCCTTTTTGAATTTGAAAAGCATTTTTGACCATTGGAATTGTTTTATTTCACTTCAAATCCCCTGTTTTAAAGAAAGTTGCATTTTCATACCCTCAAATTTGGAAATTTCGCATTTTGAAGCTTATTGGGCTGAAAAGCCCAAATTTAGCCCATTAAATTCAAAAATTACGTTTAAGCCCCTCCAAAAATGTTGATGTTCAGAAAAATTATCATAGAAACTGTTTGGACACTTTTGACCCTCCATAAATTTTAATTTGTCGGTTTGGACCCCAAGTTTTGTATTTTTGACAATTTAAGCCCAAAAATGAGTTTTATGTTCAAGTATGTTCATCCTAACCATATAAACTATTTTTCTTGACTTGATTAGTATAAAATAGTTTAGGTTATGTTTATTTCCTTCCCCATGTTTCAGATCTCAGTTTTACACACTTGTTGAATAACATATTCATCACAAACACATAATATCACACACATACATGCATCAAATCACACATAGCATACATTTACACATAGATCTACACATTTACTTGTATTCTCCCCCCATAAAACTCATAAAAACCGAAAAGAAGGGGGTATGAAACTCACCTTGGGTGTGGTTTCGGTTTTGGAAGGAAAAGATGAGAAGAATTCGATCCTAGCAACCTTTCTTGGAAGACCTCGAATTTAAAGAGCTTCTAAGGTGCAAGATCACAAGATTGAATGGATTTAGAAGATATTTTGATGAAATGAAGGGAGTTAGATCATAAGTTAGCCATTAACTTACCTTAGATGATGAATTACTTGATGAAGATCCTTAGACTTCAAGCCAAATTTTCGAGATTTTGGATGAAGAAGAAGAGATGATCTTTGAGTGGTTTAGAGAGAAATCTAGTTGGGATGTGTGTGTTTGTTTGGTTTCAGCCGAGAATGAGAGAGATGGAGAAGAAGAGAAGTGCTTGCGTGGAAATATGAGATTGCATGGATGTTTGAAGTGTAAAACATGGATATCCTCCATATAAAAGTGATGTGTCATGCAAGAAGTCAACTTCCTCTTTTCCTTTGGGCTTGGACCGAGAATGGTGAAGAAAAAGGAAGGGATTGAGCCTTAATTGCTTAAGCCCAATTTTCATGGTTATGTTGAGTGATTTTTGGTCCAAATAATTATAAATGTGATTTTTATGACCCATGAAGGCTAAATTAGGTTAATATGGCCCAATATGGTTCATTAAATTAATTTATTTCATTCTAGGCCCAATATGGCCCAAAATTTTGAAACAAATGGAAGTGGGTCCAATTAGAGCCCATTCAAGAGTTCTAAGCCCAAGATAATCCAATTGGAAGCTTATTGGTCCATTGGGCCCAATAAGGAAATCATAATCATAATGGACTTAAATAAGGATTTCTAAGGTTTCCAATTGCTTGTTGACTATTTGCAATGCTTGTATGAAGTGTTTGATTGAAATTTTGTTATCATAGAGTAAGCATCATACATGCTTTCATGTCTTTAATTCATAATTGGCATAAGTGTTATAGTTACAAGGCACAAAAATTTCTAGTTGTGACACGTTTGCTAAAGAAATTGCTGAAAACAACTTGAAGAAGTATGTAGTGAAAACCCGCTAAACCATTTAAAAAATAAAAATAATCAAGAAATAATAATATTATTAAAAAACCCTAATGATGAAATTAATGTTCCAAATAAAATTATATATAGTATAAAAGATGTTTCTGAATTTAAACCAAAATGCACTGAACTACTAGAAAAATGAATCATTCAATCTAGCACAAGTCCTCATTTTGCACCTGCATTATATGTAGAAAATAATAATGAAATAAAACGAGGTAAACGAAGAATGGTAATTAGTTATAAAAAGATGAACGATGTTACTATAGGAGACTCATATAAATTATCACGAAAAGAATATATTTTGGAAAAATTAAAAGGAAATACACATTTTAGTACATTTAATGTAAAATCCGGATATTGGCAATTACGCTTACATGAAAATACAAAACCACTAATTGCTTTTTCATGTCCTCCTCAGAAGCATTATAAATGGAATGTCCTTTCATTCGGTTTAAAGTGTACAGGCACCAACAATATATCAACGATTCATGGATGAAACCTTAAATGGTTTATATCATATTTGTCATGCATACATTGACGATATAATTGTTTTTACAAAATGAAATGAACAAACACATATCAATGCAGTTATCAAAGTTTTACAAAAAATAAAAGAAAAAGGGTTAGTTTTTATCAAAAAAGAAATCAAAACTTTTTCAATCTACAGTTGAATATTCAACTTGGTTTAAAAATTGGAGAAAATGGTCAACTATCTTTAACAAACAACATACGAGAAAAATTAAATATGTTTCCTGATAAACTTGAAAATAGAAAACAAATACAACGATTTCTTGATTGTTTAAATTATATTGTAGAACAAAGATTTTTGAAAATTTTAGCAAAAGAAAGAAAAGTTTTACAAAGAAAATATCAGAAAAAAAATATCTTGGTCTTGGACCAATACATATACTATTTTGGTACAAAATATAAAACAAAAAATTCAAGTTCTCCCTATTTTATATAATTCAAAAATCGATGATTTTCTAACTGTGGAGATAGATGCATCACAAGATACTTGGGCAGGATGCCTAAAAAACAATTATACATGGAAAAGTATTATTGGGACTAGATAATAAGCGAAACCTCATATCAGACCCATCAAAAAATATACATTGATAAAGCATACAGTGGTATGAAAATACCATCCGAAGTAAACAGTGATAAAGCATATAAAGTATACAATGATACGAATGTATCATCTGAAACATTGAAGACAGATAAATATAAGCACAAATTATGCAAGTATATATCATGAACATTTTCCCAAACGGAGCAAAATTACAGTACACATGAACGAGAAACAGTAGCTTGTTTAAAAACATTGAAAAAATGGAAAATCGAGCTACTACAAACTAGATTCAAGTTACGAACAGATTCCAGGTATCTACTTGGCTTTTGGCGTTATAAATTACAAGAAGTTTATTGTCGCGGGCGATTGATTCGTTAGCAATTACAATTACACAAATTTTATCCATATCTCAGATACATCAAAAGTGTCAACAATCATATAGCGGACACATTGACGAGAGAATGAAAGTCATCGTAAAGCAACAACAGTTCAAATTAGAACAAAAAGCATCCATACATGGAAGAAACACCTTTCATGAAAGATTAACATAAATATGCCAGCCATGACACAAGCAAACATTATTCACACAAAAATATATGTCCTTTCGGTGGCGGGAGGATTGACGGAAGCAATGATGCATAAAGACATTATTGAAAACACGCATCCTTTCGTGGTGGAAGGATTTGTAATTTATTATATTTGTCATTTGTCGTTGTTATTGCCGGTAGCTTAATTATTGTAAAGTTTCGTTAGGATGTAATGTGTAAAATGTGACATAAAGTGTCAGTAGGATGTAACATAAAGTGTAAGACCATTGATAGTCTAGGGACCTAAATTGTAAAACATGTTTGTTGTGTTGCAATCATACCATTGCAATTTTCAATTATGTAATCGACTCATTAGAACCTATAAATAGGGCATTTGCACATATAAAATAAACAAGATGTTTTTGAGTGTTTATGACTTGAGTTAATTCTCAATGCTCTTCCTCTGTTAAAATAGTTTATCTATTTCTCAATAGCACCCAAATTCATCTTATATAACCATCCAATATAATCCAAACAATCCATCATCAATTAAGAATATCATCAAAAGATCATCCCGACACATATGATATGCCTAGACACTATTGGTGCATGCATAACATGTTTGCAAAGTTGTTTTTCTTAATTCAACTGGTAATTCGGCTAGATGATGAGAAAAAATTTCGAAAATTTTTAATGCTTTTAATGCATATGGAGTAATTTCTAATGCCTACAATTTGGTTGCGTCTCATTTCTGCAAAAATTAAATATAAATCCTTTCCATTGTGTCTCATTAAACTTATATTAAAAATGCATAACAAAATAAGGTTCACGTTACATCATGAGATGTCCATGTTCCTTATAATAGGCGTTCACGTTAAGTACGGAGATGACATGTTAGTTTTGGTAAGAACTCACGTTAGGTAAACAACCCAATGTTAAAAATTACTTATTCATAATTTTATGCCATACTTCAAACCAAAAACACGAAACGCTAATATCAAGACTCTAAAGTACACAACACTAATATCACAAATACTAATGGAACTCAAACTTCATAAACATAGAAACATGGGAGTCCAGGTTAACAAACAGTCAAATACAACATCAATTTCATGAGGACGAGGAAGAGGATGAGGATGAGATGACATGCATTCTTCATGATTAAACTTGGATCATCTATCATCGATCAGACACATGAACTAAAAACTAAAAATCAAACAAACTTCCATAAACTGTACATGCAAATATCCCCATAAAAAACAGAAATATAAAACACTTATTTGAATCCCATTTTCCCACCAAATATTTATCCTTAACCTCACCCTACAGGGAAACAACAGCACCCCCTCTCTCTCTCTCTCACACACACACACAGTATTTATAATCTAAAGTTGATAAAACCATAAAACTCGGCCACCATAGGCTCCATAAAACCACCTTTAACTGGCGGCAAAGCCATTAACCACCGGATTATCTATCCTCTTACGGATTCAGGCGCCACCTGTCCACTGCCGCCCTTATGTCCATTAAATCCGGCGACATGCATTGACCTCTGAGAAAAGTCAACCAACATCTTCCTCTGACGATCATCGGTATGAGGAAGACTAGCACGAAGAAGCTCAACAGGCATTTCTCTACTAATGGCCTTTGCAGCTTCAGAAAACACAATCTCTGTAGTTGGTGGAATCTGTGCATACATAGCATTCACCAAACTATCATACTTACTCAAACAATATTTAGTCAAAAGCCCAAAAAACGCATCAAATGAAGCCTGCCAAAGTGTCGGATTCTGCATCCCCATGTTGACTCCGGTCAACAACTGAGTCGCCCTTTCCAGAACCGCTTTCAAAACCACCGACGCACCGTCGCCGGAAGGGCTCCCGAGTGGCCGGAGCGGCGGTTGCTCCGGCGAACACACCACCGCAGCCAAACACGCGCTCAGAGAATTCAAATCCATTGAAGTTATACAACTCGCGACAGTTTTCGCAAGCGTAGTGACAGTTTCATTAGGAACCCCTCCGAATAAGAATCTCAAATGACGGAATATTGTCATGCATACGATTCTTGCAAGATCAGAAGTAGGAGAGAGAAGATTGAGGTATCGAGACATGAGTTTTTGACCTTTTGGAAGAGAAATTACCCGTAAGAAAACCATGTCGTCTTTCGGGGCTAACCCGGACCCGTTTACCCCCAACGGGTCGACCAACTGGAGAGCTGCTGCGAGCCCTTCTAGAAGCACCTGCCGCCTCTGTCTCGCCGGAGAACCACCGTCTTGTGACTGAGATTGGAGGAGACGATCGATATCGTCGATGTCAAGAAGCACAGAAAGGGCATCCTCGATCATGATTCGAGCTGCAAGCATCGGTTCTTGTTCTAGGGTTTTCTCTGATCTTTTCTCACCATCATTGGAAGGATTATCAGGTTCAAACAAGGGTTGTGGTCTACGGATGAGAGAGAATGAGATTCTTCCATGTGAATCGATGGTGATCTGAGGCTGTGAATCTGACCCGGAACCTGACCCAGACCCGGACCCGTTACGTGACCTGACCGGAGTATCTTTGAAATGGGCCGGGTGGAACCGGTTTTTTGACCGGGTATCTTTCTTGGCTAAACGGGCTTGGTGATAGTAATCGTTTATATACGGATCATTACTATGAGTTGCAGCATGTTGCATGTTGAGAATCGACTCGATCTCTTCAGAGGTCATGTATTTTGACCTGAAGTTGACCCGACACTTTTCACTTTTCTGATTGGTATTATCGGAACCCTGTCTCGAGATTCGTCCACTGTGTTTGCTCTTTCTTTGATCTCTTGTGTCATTCAGACCATATTTAGTTAATGAATGAGAAGGGATATTTGTGTCATATAAATATGGCTGAAGAGCAAACGGGTTAAATGTATGCTGACGAAGCGAATGTGGGGACATTAAACACTGGGACAAGAGCAGCTTTTGTTGAAGATTGTTGGCCAACACTTGGTTAGCCCATTGGTTTTGTGTTTGAGAGTACTGAGTTAACCCGGGGTGGACCGGGTGGGTTCGGGTTGAGCCAAAACGCGACCCTTGTGGGACACTGGTTAGGTGAAGACTAGAGGTGTTTGATAAAGGAGAGAGATTAAGGTCTGAAAAGGGCATTTGGGAATGGGAATGGGAACGATGACGTGGCGAGGGGAGACTGTTGTGGGCCCCGGGTGAAAATGAAGGGAGAGATGAGGTTGGTGTGAGTATGGGTTCTGTGAAGAATTGGTGTTGCTCTGTAGGGTATGATGAAGCTCTGTATAAGGGTTTAGGGTCTGAAGGGAGATGAGATTGTGAAGACCATCTTCTGCTTCCATGGCTGCTTTCTGTGTCTGAGATGTGTTGGTCTAGCCACTCTGGTAGGTCTACTGAAGCAGATGAACCTGAAAATATGTATATTTTTTTTATAGAAGAACATGAACAAAGTTACAAAAGCAATGAAGATCAAGAGTATTTCTTGAATAGATTTGATATAGATACTTACTTTCTCTTGAAATGGATCCTGACCCCCGATCACCAATAACTCCAGGATGTCTAGGTCCGCTTACTGATCTGTTTAACTGTTTAACAAAACAAGAAATTTAGTTAATTTGGCTCAAAAAATTCACAGCTTTATTGTGAAAAACTGAAATGAAAACTATACCTTTGAAAATATAGTTGATAGATCATCTAAATCCGATAGGGATCCTGCACCTGGCTCCTGTGGAAAAAGAAGATGTAAGATTTAGAAAGATGAGATATTTTATCACTGCAAGTTTAGGGATTTGAATTTATGAAGTTAATTAAAACTATTGTAATGACTTTAGATGTCTAAGATGCACAATGTACATTATACCTCTTCTCTGTCAAATAAATGGTATTCATCATCAGGAACTCCAGTAGAAGGATTATCTTCATCTTCTTCTAAGCACCCAAACTCAACTTTCTCAGTAGTAGGTCGACCAAAAAAAGCATATTGTGAAGCATCAAAGAGTTTATCATCTGCACAATAATGAATGAATCAGGCACAGAAAACAAAATCTTGAAACAACACAAATAATAAGAAAGAACAATGACTCTTGCAGACAATAAAACCAATGATAATTTGTTCTATTGCTCGATGAACTTCTTTGGTTTTCTTCCTAAGGTAAAAATGGTAACACGTTCGAAATCCAGATACCGAAATATGGACTTGTGTGGGGTGTAGGTACTAGTAAATCATTCAAATAAAAGATTCCTTCATCGGAGATATCACCTCAATCACACACGAATTCAAAGAGATTTCGCCAAAAATCAAAATTATATTTAAACGAATACCCTAAAACCGAACACGATCAAACACCGACCACCGACCAACAAACAATAAACAACAAAACTTATGAATACAAGAAAGAGATAGCTTCACCTGAGGAAGAGCCCTTATTGATGCTACTCCAGTCTTTACTATCAGATCTCTCCATGTCCACAACGAGATTTGCCAAGTCGAAATGGGAAATATTAGGGTTTGGAGAGGAAAAAAGGGTCGCCGTGTTCGGAGTTCCTTTGTTCGGTGGTTTTGCGAGAAATGGATTGAATTGGATAAGGGAAAGTAGGAATCCACCGCTCACAAGAGCGCCGTGGAGATTGTTGTTATTGAGTGAAGTTGCGTCTGCAGTTGACGTTGATCTAGCACACCTTGCGCCTCAATACTCTATAATGAAGCTTCTTGACTGCATTTGTTTCCAGTGGTATCAAGGTCCGAACGCAATCATTTCATAACCTAACAAAATGTATCCTAAAAGTTATTCTAGAGTAATTTACATAAACAGTCCCTGTAGTATTGCTTATCTTCTGTTTTTAGTCCACTCTTTTAATTGTTGTCTTTTTGGATCAAAGTTGAATTTTTATTTTTTAAACCATTGTCCACGAGTTATTAGTGTTAACTATTTATGTTGAAAAGTTACATGCGGCCAACACAACATGTGTTAAAAAGCAATATGTTTGTCTTTAGACCTTTTTTTTAATTATTTATAGATTACAAAGTTTTTATTGTTGGAGTTGGTATGATTAAATATTATTAATAAATGGAGGAGATTTGTTTGATTTATAATTGACATTATAAACAAATATCAAATATAATAATATACAATTTTCATTTTTATCACAAAAGGCAAAGCCAACGCACCATGTTATCTAGAGATAACATTTAAAATACGATTCAAACTATAACCGAAAGCACTAAATTGGAACATGTAGAATCGGTCCGAGTTTTGGGTTTAAAGAATGATTTTATCCGGATTTCGGAATATTCGGGTTTTAGTCATTCGGACCTAGGTAAACCGGGTTTAAGAATCGGAATCGGTTTATGTGAAAAGTTTAAAGCATTATATCTCATTCGTTTGAAATCGGATTGATATTCAGTTTTTTCTAAGTTGTAGTTTAGAGATTGTATATGATTTTAGACTATAATTTTGTTATTTTTTGTTTTATATGATGGATTTTATACAAAAGAACATCATGTGTGTTCATGTAAACCCTAACGCTTGGATCTAGGTTTCTCTATTGTACATGCAATTCATCCAAGACTTAAGAACCCTAGATCTAGCATAAATATTTCGAAATTATCATATAATAATAGATCTAGATGATTACCTCTTCAAGAATGGCTTGAATCTTCCTTCCTTAGAGCTTAGAGTCACAAATATCACTCCTCTAATGGCTTACAAACACCACAAGCAAGAGGATGATATAGGAGAAAGGGGAGGAGCACCAAAAACATCCAAGGTCTTCTAGAGAGTGACTAGCCATGTTTTTGGGAGCCCTATGGGTCCTTTTATACTTGTGTGGGCTTCTAGGGTTTCAGGAAAAACCTTAATTCTCTGTTTAGGCCTTAAACAACCCATGAATTCCCTTCTTAGAGGCCTTGGACGAATTCTAATGGTTTTCCCCATAGATTTTGTCCACTCCAACCTCTATGGAGTCCATTAGCCCATTTATATAACTATCTTATAATTATTACAATATCAGTCCCCCAAGTTTAGTTAATCTCTTTTAGCCACATAATTAATTTCTTAATTAACTATTGTCTAATATTAATTAAACTATAGGATTTCTCTTTTAATATATTATTCTCATAATATATTAATAAATCATAATAACCTCTTTCTTCATAAATCATCATATCTAGTTGCTTTGGTGAAAGGCAACCCAAAAGGACGATGCACAACCGGGTCAAATACTTACCAAATATAGTTACGGGCTTAGACACTAATCCAATATTATATTCATTGACTTATAGTCCCCTCAAATTGGGATATCAAGCTGGAAAATTTATATTTTTTAGTTTTTTTTTATTTTGTGAAAATTTTAAAATATACATATTTAATTTGTATAAAGTTGGATTAACATGCGGCTTTTTCTAACGTGTAGATTAGATAATGCACGTGTTTTAGATCATAATTTTGTTATTTTTGGAATTTCAAATTTATACCATCGAAATACTTTGATCTTAAAATGCATCGTGACTTTTAGTTTATCCAAACAATCGAAACACCCAATTTTCTAACATAACTCATATGATCACGCATTGTGAAAATCAAAACATCCTTACTTGAACGTCACTTTGACTTGATAAATAAACTTTCATAATGTTGTAAAAGCACCAAGTTAGGTGACAACTTTCAACAAATCCATAAATGTAACTTCTAATTAGTTTATGGATTCCTTAACTTTAATTTTGTTAAAAAAAAAAAACATCATTTAAGTTTTCAAATCAATATTGAATTCATATATATATATATATATATATATATATATATATATATATATATATATATATATATATATTATTGAAAGATCCCAAAAGTACAATCCAAAATTTTCGTTTTGAAAATTATTATAAAATCATAAACCATCCATAATCATAAAGAAAAACCATGTATCATGTATCTCAAAACACCATATTAAATACTGTAACAAAAACATATGATAAAAATATCAGAGTAATCTCCCAGGCCAAAAAGATTATGGTGTGTGTCATGTCATCATCCCGAGCCCTTCCCTTTGCCAGTGGAAGTACCTGAACTAAAACTGTAAACACAAAGCTTAGTGAGTCTCCCCAAGCAACCACATACTATACAGATAATCATAATCTGCACACATAATCACATATTGGGCCTAGCCCACTACATCGGGCCCCGTCCCGGCATCAGACCGAAGTTCGCTATACACATCATGGGCATAAACATAGACATAAGCATGACAAGAAAGTTGACATTCCTCGGGCTTGCCCCAGCATCGGACCAAAGTCCGGAACACATAATCATACACATGCAAGAATCATGAAGACATCAAGGCTCAAGCATACTAACTGCATTGGTCCCCACACGACATCAGACCGAAGTCCGGAACATAAAACCTACATTGGGCTAACCCCGACACATACAATCCTACATAAACAGGTCGACCTTGGTGCCTTAGACTCGTTCCTAAAGGACAAGACTCACTTCTCAAACGAAATGTTGAATGCGGGTGTGAGGAATCTCTGCTAGTTGCTCCCACGACTCTCCAGCTATTAAGACCAAATACATACTTAGTCAAAAACTGAGAATCCTTCTAAGGGTAAAATGACTGTTTTACCCCTTTTATCTAATTTGGGCCATGTCTTAGGCCCAATAATTTATAGCCCTTTCAAACTCATTAAAGCCCAATAAGTCCACAAATGGCCCAATTTTCCAAATTGGGCCCAACTCATCAAATAGACTTTCCTCTCAAGCCTAACTAGTCCTTGGGCCCTTGACTGACTTTCGAAGGCCCATCACGGCCCAAGTTTTGCTATGTCCAAATCTTGGCCCAAAACGAGGCCCAATAACATAAAGCCCACCAACTGAGCGTATGTTGATCGTACCTTTCTATACGTTGTGCGTACTGCTAAAATGGCTTGTACGTTGCACGTACTAGAGTGTACACCCAGCATACTCTCCTATTCAGCCCTTTTTTTTCCAAAGTTGCTTAATCCCTTAAGACATAACGTCCAAACTACAGATCTTAGTCCAAAACTTCCTCCAAACCCATAAAGTCGATCACTTGGTGGCTTGCAACCCACCAAATGAGCCCAACATTTAAAATAGCAATAAACTTTCATGGAAATGGCTAAATCTCTTGCATGGCTACATAAAGGCCTCAAAGCTTGCAAATTTACTGCATAAGGAACACTTTGAGCTTCAAGAGTGGCAACCCTAAGCTCAAAAACTGTGACAACCCAAAAAAAAATTGCTTTGTAAAGTCCAGCCATTAAATCCAAGTGTGTGTCAGACTCATTTCTGCTATCTTTTAGCATTGTCTAGAGTCCGTTTTAAGGGTTCAAAGCTTAGTACAATCAAGCATTGGGTATAGGATCGAGTTGCGTAAGTTCTTTGCGTTGAAATCAAGCTGAACACTCCATGTGAATGTGACATCCCCATTTTCACGGCCAGAAAAGACCGATTTTTTTGTTTATTCTTTATTAAAATCATAGTACCTCTTTTAATAAAAATGTTGCGGAATTTGTTCCCAGTAAAACATGATAAATACTTTATCAAATCATTTTCGAAGAAAAGTATTTGTATTCATTTTAAAACATTTGGGATGTCATTGTCAATACAGAAACATAAGCATAAACATAACTTACATTCATTATCGCTAGTGATTTATATCTCCTTAATCTTTCAGTGTAATGTGACTTCATATCAACACCTGTGATATAAATAAACTGAGTGGATCAGGTTGGGAAACCTGGTGAGTACATGGGGTTTTCTATCCACAATAAATAAGTTTATTAACTTTATCAAACCAAACAAACCCAATTATCCGTTCCCGTTATCCTCACTTTACGTCCCTAAGACATCTAACACAAGGGACCTAGTCTATGGACTTTCATCGGGGTGACAACACATGCTTCGGGGGTTCCTCAACAATTCATGTCAAATAAGGCAACCATGGGGATGGAGTATTGCTGGTGAGCACACAGTTCAAATAAACACCTACAGGTTGTGAGCGTGCTAGCGTTCCACTGGACTGTCTAGAATAGTCTGTGGTCGTCATCTATACTCCGCTAGATGACTGGATCATCAATAACATCTATATCGAGGCCTCTCATTATTTTATTTGGTCACACAGCAACTATTACATCTACGCATGTTTTACCCAACACATTTTGTAGATATAAAATACATATACACTTTAAATCATTTAAAACGTGTATAAAAATATTTCACCCAACATAGACAACAAGTATTCAAACAATATGCACACATAGCACGTAATTTATATTAAATACTTCATATCTATGTGTAAGATGAAAGGGACCATGCACTCACTTAATAAGGTGGTGACTCGGTACTCGGACAACGCTTCGTTTACTTTAAAATAATTTCCTTCGACGAAACCTAGTATTATTACCACTAGATTTTAGTCTAATATTTACTGTAACTAATTATTAGTCTTATTATTATTATATAAGAGTTTAAACAATATTTTCCAATCACTATGTACAGACAGGGGCCAGACATAAAACACCGGAGGGCATGACCATTTTGGCGTATAGCACTTCTGAAATCCAACAACCATATACGGTCCCTTTAAACTAGATTCCCCGTACCGCATGTAGTTAAAAAGACAGTATAACGACACTTATATAAGTCATAATAATAGCTCAAATATTTATTATAAGTTCATAATAACAATATTAATTTTAAATATAAGATATATTATAATAGGGTAACCATAACTTACTTAC